AATATGCGATATGTTTGCCTTTACTAGAAAAGTGTTTGGTTAAAATTACAAAAAATATCTGTAGAAATAAGAAAGTTCACATTGCGCGCTCTGCGCATGCGCACAACGGATTTTTACAATATGCGATATGCTTTACTTTACTGGAAGTATAAAATTTCAAACAAATTTTCTATAGGGAAGTAACGTTACCCATTTCACTCATTCGGAGAAATTTTGTATAAATTTGGGAAAATTTAAGGCAATGAATGCTAGAAATTAAAAAAAAATGAAGATGGCAACCGCGCAATTTAAAAATTGCCCAAGTCGTTTTTTTCATAAATATAGAAGTTATTCTTACATTAAATTATGTTTTTACATTTTTCCTATTCTATTTTGCACGTTCCTTTCGAGTTGCACGTTGTGCTGTTTCAGATTACACCGAGGATTAAACATAAAACAATTTTTGCACTGTCTTTTGTTTTACAAAAAACATCTGACTCCCGTAGTATTAAAAATAGATACCTACATGTTTCGTTTTAAAAAAGCTAAAAAGTAATCTAATTCGACTATAAACAACTATTCCTTGTACGTTTTTTTCCTATATTTTAAAACTAAACCATGTTTTAATTGCAAGATTGTCAAGTTACTTACACCAAAGATGATCTTTGCTTACACTACGGATTAACGGATAAGTTTTTTCTCATCGGACATCGAAATTGGGATACCCTGTACAGTACCTATACTTTGTCCGCCATCATGAGACAGATACAAAATATAAGGTCTTCCTTCCGCTTCCTCCCGACTACCAAAACAACATAGACTGCCGTTTTCTCAACGAAATTGGTGTTGAGAGTTTTTTTTACTAGTAATGTAACAAGGAGAGCATACATTTTTCTTGCATTAACGCACAATAGAAATTATTGCGTACCTCACAAGATTCGAATTATTGATTTTATAATTTAAGGGAAGTAATTATTGAGATTGCAAAAAATTATCAGTGGTTGCAATTTAGTAAGCAATTAATATATAATTAATATTCATATATATATAATATATAATTAATATTCATCCGATTAAAAAACTTTAAATACGAAAGTTATAGGAAACATTGTACTCTATAACTTTCGTAATAACTACTTTTAATGTAGGTGGCACTGGAACGGAGAAATTATCGAAAAACTGAATTTTCGTAACTTTTTCCAATATGGCGACGCGACCGGCAGTCGCTCAAGGTCGCAAATTCAGGGTATTATTCAGGAGACCAAAATATAATAATCTTTCAAAACTCCTTGACCTGTTGCAGCAAAACGCTCTTTTTTTTGGCCTATTTTGACTGGACTATAGGTGGCACCCACACACAGTTTCATTTAATTAACAAGTCGTAAATGGAGCAATTAATTTAAAACTTGCAATCTAATCAGTAATTTATATAGTGAATAGTGAGTGGTTTAGCAGTAACAACCATAGAAGCAATAAACACAGTTTTCACAGCTACTTAAGAGCGAAATTGATAGTCAAATGTTGTTCGTCTCAAAGTGTTGATGAGAAAACATCTTTGGTCTAAAGTAATATAGGGTGTTTTAAACGCACAATAGAAGATTTCCAAATTCTCACGTGCATAACTCAAATGACTCACTTGTAATATTCATTGAATTCCTCGATATCAGCAATTTTTTTTAAATCTCCAAACCATCTAGATATTCTACGAACTCTATACGCGATTTCCACAACAGAATATCTTTTTTTCAAATTGTAGGCAACAAAAATAAGACGAGAATTTTGTTCTTGGAAGTGTGCTCAACAATTTTCGTGATTCCAGATATTATTTGTGATATTCCTGTTAGGAGCCAATTTGGTCGAGAGGGAAACGTCTATAAAATTATGCATGTTCAGACAATTTGGAGAAATTCATTATGATTCAAAAAATTGCAAAAATCAACTCAAAAAATTCCAGTTTTCTTCATCTCGGAG